AATTCTTGTTGGGGAATCGTTGAAGTAACTTCGGTACTACTCCTCTCCATGCACTTTCTTTTTGACTTTCATTTTGCTCTCTTTCTGATACATAGTTAAGGAACACCTCATAAACTATGCACTCTCAAATTTGCAGCTACAACAGAGCCCAATAAGCCGGTTAAAATCGCCCTTTCTTGTCAAATTGTTTTCACTCATTTTTTGGCATTCCCATAAACGCATAGCAAAAACGAAACCCATTTTTGTGACCCTTATATGGACCCCTACATGCAACAAACCATTTCTAAAAGCGCGCCATGACCTGAAAGACCTCCTTGTTAGTTAGAACGCACATGTATTTACTTTTTCGTGACCGTTCCGTTCCAAAGATGTGAAAAAAATACACGGGCTAGAATATTGCCAAAGGCGGAGGTTGCTGTACCGCCTAACAAAGATCAGCGAAGAAACCCTTTTTAAGGGACTCGTGTGACGACTCTAAAGCTTACGATTAGACTCACTCTTACGGCTTTAACCCGTCCATATTGTTCTTTACGAACTCGCTCTTGTCGCCTAATGTAATCTAAAAAAACTGCTTCTCTCCTGAATGCGCACGCTCAAGACCGCAGAGCCGCTATGAATACAACTCATGGTACCAACACATGCCTTTGCTGGATACATAAATGTACACATGTACGGTGATTCTTTTCTATAGGTATTGTTTTTAACGAGGGTGGCATTTGAGTGGGTTTGAGGGACTGATCGCCTTTTGCCCGCTGCGAAAAATTTGCAGGATCATGAAAAGCCAGGAATCGAATCAGGGCTGTTGGAATGTTAAGATAAAATGGGAGGTCGACATAGTTCTTTTTTGAAAGGTGAGGAGACTGATGGTAGGTGGCCAAAATAGGAAAGATGGGATCGAGGTGGGATCCTACTTGAAGCAGTGGTGGAAGAGGGATAGATCCTGCTAGATGGAAAACATTTTCTCATCGCCATGGCATGCCATGTTCGCTCTGCGCCTCTCTCCTAAGTTCTTTTAATGCGCTTTTTGAAATTTTCGATGTTTTATTTAGTCAATATTGTGCAAGAATTGGTGTTTATTCTTAGTGAAGCCCCCGCACAGTACAAATATTACACTTTGGAGATGCACTCTGGTAGGTACCGACTGCAGGGTACGTCCCGTCGTTGGGGAAATTTTTTTTCCACCCGTGCCCCCTCAAAATTTCCCCTTTTGGACCCCTTTCTCTGGGAAACCCGATGTTCATCGACGTCTTCTTGTTATAGGCCCCATGTGTCAGCCACGCATTTCAGTTTTGATTGTGGTCGCCGTGTGAAGGTGCTATAAAATGTTTGCCTCACAACAACAAGGAGACACTCACGCTCAAGTAGTTTTTCCGCAACATATCAGTAACATGTAACTAGTTAAATGAATGACTAGTTGCAATCAAACTCAATTAGGTCCTTCCCTTTTCTACGGCTTATCCTTAGCGGCTCATCCTCAGCTGAGGTGACGTGGGTGCTAGGCGGTTTCAGGCTGAGCGGATGTGATATTCGTGTTCAGGAGGTCGAACTACCCCTGGGAACAAGTTTTCAGCAAATTGGGTGATCCAGGGTACTTTGGCGCCTGCACGTGTGGCACGAGCGCCAGGTAGGTTTCGGACCGAGTGGATGTGATGTTAGTGTTCAGGGGGTCAAATTACCCGTGAGTACAAGTTTTCAGGGAATTCGGTTAATTAGGTTATTTTAGCTGCGGCTGTGGCGCGGTAGCCAGTAAGTTTAGGACCAAGCGGATGTGGTATTAGTGTCCAAGGGGGGTGGGGGTCAAACTACTCTAGGGAGAACTTTCTAGCCGATTCTGCACTCTGCCCACGGAATAAGGTAGGTCAAAAACCGGCTTGATTTGGGCAGTAAAGATGTATACTGCCATATTACACATCCCACGGCTCTTACGTATTGGATTTTCAAAATTTTCCCTGAATTTTGCACTGCATCCTTGCTTATATACTGCCAGAGACACCACACACTCAGCTGTTGTGAAAGAGTAGGAAGAGAGTAACTAATTTTTGTTCAGCTTCGTTTCAAACCTCTTCAAACTGTGCATACTCCTATTCGGAGAGCAGGCAGTTATAACGATCTCCCCATCACAGAATACAGCTTCGAATGAGGTGAGGCAAAGCATTTCATCCTGGACAAAAAAAACATCTCTAGGATGAAAGGAAATCAGTTTAGGTCCACCGCCCTGGTTGCCATATGTTTCACCTCCACTACAGTCAATGACGTCCATTCGCCCACACCTCTTATCGTCGTTAGCTCAGCTCGACCTCCGACACAGGTAAGAAATGGAGGCAGAGAAGATAGCTCGGAGAAGAGTGCTCCTCGTATGTAGAAATTAGAAAGTGCTTTGCATCTAGGTCAGAACTACGACTTGTTTAGAAACTGGGTCCCAACAGGATAGCTTCCTTGACAGGAATTTCACATTCACATGTATCTTGGACAAAAACGCCCACATCACTGGCACCTATCACACATTCCTGCTACTACGACAGTATCTGTAGCGTGAACGACACGTGCCAGCGGAAGGTGCAAAGGCGGTTAGGCAGCGTTCATACTTCGCGACGGCGGCGCTTCGGCCGCGCGTTCGGGCGATCGATCGCGTCGCTAGTGGTAGCGGTTGTGTGGCGCGACTGATTCGATCGCGCTCCAATGCAAAAATCAACTGGACGGATGCTAATTTACAGCCATTTTCGGTTACTTTTTGCTTCTTTCTCCTCCCGCTTGCTTCTCGCTTGTTTCTTCCTCCTCCTGGCACTATTATTTCTAATCTGTTTCTATTGTTTGTCAGTTATTATGCTTTTTACCTTTGACATAGTGAAATTTTTCAGATGCATTGAAATTTTTTGGATGGACGGCCGTTCTGCGCGCAACTTTTCTTGTTTTCGAGGTGGGTTTTTCAGTTCCC